CTCTAAGATTCCTTCTCAACAAATCATATATATTCTGATCATACACATAGTCAAGTACAACTTTAGATTTAAATAGGAAAGCGTCCCAAGCATAACTAGGAAGTGATACATAGAAAACAATATCTAGTTCATAAATTTCTTTCAGTGATGTTCGCCAAAGTGTAAATATATCAACTAGCATTCCCACGTCAACTTTTAAATATAACATGAGGTAATCCTTGATGTTTGTACAGTTCCCTAAATTAAACACTTTAAGAGCATTGTTATAATCTTCTTCAGACAGAGGAGAGTCATGTAAAACATTGTAAAACTTATCTCGCGAAGGGAGCTGAGGTTCGTCTAACACGTCCATGGAAGAAATATAATCATAACATAGGCTTTGTTTACCTTTAATTAACAGAGCTTTAGCTTCATCGGATACACCATTTAGTATGTGTTCAGTGTACTTGGTGGGTTTCTTACCGGCAACGTGCTCGCTTGCTAAGGTTCCTAATGACCCATTAAGGAGAGCTAGGCTATCTAGGAATTTAAGTTTACCTATGATGACTTGCATAAATTTCAATCCTTCCTTGGTTAGAATTTCTACATTGCGGTGAGGATTTTTGGACAGTTCTTTAAGTATAATTCCAAGATCATAGGCAGCATTATGGGAAAATGTGGTTAAGTATCTACGAGCATTTTTACATTGTAAATTGCAACGAGCACAATAAGCACCTAAGTAATTATTTTCCTGAATAGCATGATTATGATGTCTATGTTTATCTTTCTTATCCTTGAAAGTTTGATGACTCAATTGACACGTATTTTGTCTTTGAAACATTCTTTCCTGTTCTCTAGACAAGTTCTTAGGGAAGTTGGGGAGCTGAGCATGAATAGCTTTCCATGAGGCTTCTAGCTTGGTAATAAAATGATTGACCGCATCTGGACCTACGTATGAATACGTTTCTACGACATTGAATTCCCTGTCTAAAATCATGTATGCATAAGCAATTGCTTTATGCTTACATTCCACCATGCCTCTAGGATTTTGACGGTCTAATAGACATTCAAAATCGTAATAGGCGGTGTGAGTTGGGCTATAGGTCCTACCGTAATTTTTAAAACTGATTTTATCACTAGGATTATAGAATGAAAATACTTGGGATACAGTGCATGACTCTTCGTGAGCCTGAATTTCATCTAAGGGAGCATGCAAAAGACAAATTTTGCAGAATTTATGAGTGTTAGGAATCCTTTCAGAATGATTGTTAATACTCTTTACAAATTTATCAAAATCCTTGATCAGACAGAGATGCTTACCTTCTAATAACAACAAAGGGACTTTATCGGCATACTTTTCCTGGCTTTTCCTAGCTAAACTAAGATAGTATCTGTTACTTTCATGAGTTACTGTATAAATATAAATAGAAATTTTGTTAAGCTTCTCTATTTTCTTAAGGTTATCAAATGATACAGGGAATCTAATTTCATCTGCCCATACTACAAATCTTCTACACCATCGAAGGCTTTTGTAATGATGTCTAACGTTATTCATAGTCCTGCCCAATGTTAAGTTTTTATACGCGGCAATGCACTGTAACAAACACTCATCTCCTTCACTTTCAGGATTAAATACTGTTTCTTTACCCCTTAATTTTGCAGGATATGGTACGTAAGATCCAAGGTGCATAGGGTGGCGAATATACGAAAAATTAATGGCAAAGCCTGACATGGAATGAATTCCTACACTTGAGGATTGGACATTTTTTAGGCATTCGTCAATTTTAGCAGACATTTCGTCAACCCATGAATTTACAAGAACTTCCACTTCTTCCTGTGTAACAATCTGAGTTTTGCCTCTAATTGAAAATACTTCATCTAATATTTCATATTGATTGTCGGCATGATTAAGTTTTTGCAAAATTAGGCTTACATCAGGGTAAATGTGAAATGAGGGAGGGAATTCTTCCTGTATTTGTCTGAACTGATTGTCTATATATTCTATAAAAAATTCCCTATACCTATTTATATATACGCTGGGGTCAGCGTCTAAATGTCCGGGAATGGAGAACGAATGTCTCGAGAAAGAACCTTCGAAATGGTTAATGACTTCTAACACTCGCGGAACAACGTTATCTAAGTTATGTACCTCTGGGGAATCTGGAGCGTTGACTTCTTCATCTGATATGTCGTGAACAGGGGGTTGATTGTCTTCTTCTTCTTCATCTGAAGATGCATGCTGGTTGTCGTCTGGCGCATCTTCTTCTAGCTCCTGGGACAGCTGGGGTTGACTGCGTACAGGTGTGCTCCACTCAGAGGGTTGGGTTGAATCCAGGGGCGATTCTGTAATATAATATTAGCAATGAATAAACATTAAGAGGAAAACACATTTGAAAACAATAAGAGGATTTGAAAACCTTAATAGGAAAATATTGTGTAAATAAGAGGAATTATTATTATTAAGAGGAAAAACATAAAGTTTAAATAAGAGGAAAAACTGAATTACAGATAAATAATAATATTACTTACGAGCTGGGATGTTGATTCCACCAAGTATGAGATTCTCTTGATCACGAATAGGAACTCCTGTAATGGAAATATTTTTGTATGAGTACTTATTACTTGTTTATACACTTGTTAAAAATACAATTATTAACTTTTAAAATTACGAAAATTATTGTGAAAACGTACGGTTATTTATGATGCGACGGCGTTTGGGTGGAGGTTCAATGACGTTTCTGGCTTCGGTGGGAGGTTCCCGGTTAACGGAGAAACGACAGTATGGGCAGGAAGTAGAACCATGAACTGAAATGAAAATAATATATATAAATTGACTGTCTGTATGTATGTATGTGTGTTTCGGATATATATTTTCTTTGAAAGTTTATTGAATGTGCGAGAAAAAGAGGTACTTACGATTTGCACAATAGAGTTGCCCACAGCTGGTACAGGTTACGTCAAAATGTCCAGGCGGTGTAGGCCCGTTGCATCCTATACAGTATAGTCTGCATTCTTGAAGAGCGTTGATGGACATTTCACCGAGGCATGTTAAACATCGTGTTTGACACACATGAACGATTTCGTTGTTGATAGGAGACAGGCACAGAGGACACACTGACATGACGATATGACTAGGCTAGGGGAACCTTGTGAACAGGATGAAGATTGATTGTAGACTGAAAGTGTAGGCCTCTGAGACTTTGGCGATCTGAGGGGGCCCCTGAATGAGCGTAATAACGATAGTGTGCCCCTGAGTGAGCGTTTGGCTGTTTTATTAATAGCGAGAATGATTGGCGAATACTGGGGATAAACTCTTTTATTATAAATTGTGTAAACTATGAATTAGATGACTAAATAAATTATAAATAAATAAATAAGTTTTATTAACGCTTAATGTATATATATATATAAATTATTACGGTGGCGAACGCCGACAATGACTGGTGGATGTCTGGGGCAGGTAATCAGGTGATGATGGCCTCGGGCAGATAGCCTGGGGCGGGTAGCTGGGGCCAGCTTAGATAGTCTCTGAGGCAGTTTTCAGTATTAAAGGTTACATTGAGATGCTTCGGTTGATTTGTATAAAACTGACTGGTTAATGAAAAAAGGAATAAAATATTAGTATGTCAGAAAATAGGAAGAGGGAATAATATGAAGAGGAGAGAGAGAGAGGAGGGAGAGAGAGAGAGGAGGGACGGTCCAGATATTACGGATAAGATAAGATAAGATTAAGAGCCGACTGACTGGCTGGGCGCAAAGTAAATAAAGGTGATGCGACAGATTGCGAGGCAAGGGGGGGAGGGAGGGGGGTGTGATGTACGAGACTTGAAAACCCTGACTTACACAGGTGATTTTCTAAATTTATATGAATAACTAAGGCTTACATAGACGATATTTGTAAGTTGAAAACAGGTAAAACATGTCCGTAGAGTTCTCCTGGAAGCCCTAAAGTGCTACACACGTTATTTGAATTTCTCCCATAAGGCTTTAACAAACTTCTAAGTCTCGGAAATTATTTTTCTCATAAGAAATCCATACTTCTAAAATCTGTGACTGCCCAAATTCGCCTGAAAAACCCTGGCTCACAAACACGAATTTCTAAATTTACCTGAAACCCTTGGGGCGCACAGGGGATTTTCTAAATTTACCTGAAACCCTTGGGGCGCACAGGGGATTTTTCTCCCAGAAAAAAAAAATCCCCTGTGCGTCGCACACCCTACTACTCGCACCAGTCCAGGCGGAGACCAACCGCCACCAACGCACCAGTCCAGGCGGAGACCAACCGCCACCAACGCACCAGTCCAGACGGAGACCAACCGCCACCAACGCACCAGTCCAGACGGAGACCAACCGCCACCAACGCACCAGTCCAGGCGGAGACCAATCGCCACCAACGCACCAGTCCAGGCGGAGACCAACCGCCACCAACGCACCAGTCCAGGCGGAGACCAACCGCCACCAACGCACCAGTCCAGGCGGAGACCAACCGCCACCAACGCACCAGTCCAGGCGGAGACCAACCGCCACCAACGCACCAGTCCAGGCGGAGACCAACCGCCACCAACGCACCAGTCCAGGCGGAGACCAACCGCCACCAACGCACCAGTCCAGGCGGAGACCAACCGCCACCAACGCACCAGTCCAGGCGGAGACCAACCGCCACCAACGCACCAGTTCAACACCAACCCGCTCCATTAATACTGCCTTCTGAAGGTCGTGCTGAAGGGGGAGGTAATCAAACCTTCGCCAGCCATTCATCACTCCGGTCTGTTAGTCGCTGACCGCGGATTGCTGCGTCAGCTTGGAAGTTGTGCACGTGTAGAGCAACACATTGTGACTCTAGAAATCCAGACGCAACTCTATTCTCTATAAACTAATCTAAAAGCGACTCTTGGAATTTACGAATTAGTCTAGACATTACTCAAGAGAGCTACAAACTGTTATAGAAGCGACTCTAGAAGATAGTCAAGAAATCAATCAGACTTTGAAAGACTAGAAATCTAAGTACTCTGAAAATCTAGGAGACCAAAAACCTAGAAGGTACCAGAAAACTGGAAGCCACAACAAGCCTGGATGCTACCACAAACCTGGAAGCTACCACAAACCTGGAAGCTACCACAAACCTGGAAGCTACCACAAACCTGGAAGCCACAACAAGCCTGGATGCTACCACAAACCTGGAAGCTACCACAAACCTGGATGCTACCACAAACCTGGATGCTACTACAAATCTGGAAGCTACCACAAACCTGGAAGCTACCACAAACCTGGAAGCTACCACAAACCTGGAAGCTAACCACAAACCTGGAAGCTAACCACAAACCTGGAAGCTAACCACAAACCTGGAAGCTAACCACAAACCACTGTAGATGTTTAGCGGGAGGATGGATACACGCCATTTCCGGACAAAGAAAAATCAAAAGTCAGCATTTCTGTTAAAGAAAATGGCATTTTGATTCATTTTAACTTCCTTCAAAGCTTTACATTTGACTTTTGCACTTTACCATCTCCTCGCCCCACCACAATGGGGGGTGGGGGGTGTTCTCCTCCACTCTCCCCCTCACCAACAACATTCTCCACCCCCATCCTCTCCAACAAACTCCTCCACTGGCCGCTGGAAATGGTATATCCAGCTATTGTCTTTCCTTGATTAAGCGAAATTGGACATGAGGAACCGAGGAGTGGTCGGCGTGTCCCGCCTCTCTCGCCGTGTTCACTTCTCAGTCTTATAATATATATCATTCAATCGATATTATAGTTATATATTATGTGACCTATAAGCCTTCAAGAGGCTTGTGTATAAATTGTGGTGGATGGCGATGGAGGGAAGGGGCGGTGGATGGCGATGGAGGGAAGGGGCGGTGGATGATATAGGGAAAGGGGGTGGATAGTGTTAAATGGAAGGGGTGGTAATCTCTCATGTGATGTTAGAAAATGCTGGGGGAAAGTAACTTTTCTATTAATGGAATTGATATTATCCATGCCTTGTAATTAACAATATATATATATATATATATATATATATATATATATATATATATATATATCAGAACACTGCTCCCAGCAGGGTCAAGCTACCTATTCTTGTCTTCAGGCTGTGCTTGTCTGAGCTGCGGTTGATCGCAAATAGGTATTCGTAAATTATAACTTCCTGTAATGCAAAATAATTATATTCTCAAATTACATTTCTTTTCACTTACGTTCAAGTTGGACACAACCGCCTCAGTGCTCTTGATAAGAAGCATGACGAAGCTCAAGAGGTTAATTGCCTCATTACAACTACAGGTGAGAAAGTCATTTTTTAAGCTCCATCTCTTATGAATCCATTCCTGTCCTGTGGTTGTGAATAGCAGAAATTTCAGTTTCAAATTCGTAATGAAAACGTTGCATGAAGACTGTAACCTCGTGAAGCGTTCAAATATATAATTTATACCTATTGTCTAATGAATGATCCTCTGTCCTGTGTCCAGTTTATATAAGCTCCTCACTGCAAAAAGACCTTATTTTAGCCTAATAAGTTTAGCCTAATTTGATTAGGCTAAATTTTATATTAAGTTTGTTAGTGATCTTAACAAGTGCTTGTAAGGACCTTCCCACTTAGTAAGACCGTTGAGTGACAGTGTCGTGTAGTTCTCCTGGACCAGGCTCCCTGCTTTCTTGGCCCTTACGGTCACCTGTGGCAGGCTATTAGGCCAAAGCGTCTGTTGTTATGTACACATGAAGTTTATAACTTAGAACTACCTTATCTCAGAGAGCACGCCCGTGTCTATCGAACTAAGAAAACGGAAAGTGTACAAGGTGTGGTGAATGTCGCCATCTTAAAAGATCGTCAAAGTGAGAATCAATAGAGTAAGGCGCACTAGAAGTATGACGCCGAGAACGTAGGAGCGTGTTTAATGTTATGCTTTTCCAACCCTTCGTTTTTCTCCGTAGGGAAATAAAGTCAAGAGACAAGAGACAGGCCAGCAGGCAAATATTCGTATGTTTTCCTGGAAACATTCGAGTATGTACAGGTGCAGCCTTCCTCATTCACGTCACTTAGGGGAAATAGTTCATTGAGGGAGAACATCAGGGCGTCAATTATATATCTGATGTCATCTACCAAGTGCTCCAAGTCTCACGCCATGTAGAAGCCTGTTAGGTACTGCTGGAGAGGTCGACACGGAGTACTCTAGTGCCTGCTATACCGAGTGTGTTGTCGCTGTAAGAGGGAAAACAGTAGCAAACTGGCATGAGTGGTTAGGGCGGCAGGTCTGTATGTTTAGTGCAGTTCAAGCGGAAATGTGCGAGGGGCGACTACTTCTGTTAGTGCAGGAGGTCGTCCTCCAGTCAGGGGTGGTCTCCTCGAGGGCAGAATGACCAGGCTGGACTGCTGACTTTGCAACACAAGATGGAATGTATTTCCCAAAGCGCAGAGGCCCAAGCTTTTAGGGGAACAACTGTACCTATCGGAAGAACAAATCCACAAGGGCCATGACGAGGATTCGAACCTGCGTCCGAGAGCATCCCAGACGCTACATTAATCGACTGAGCTACGACATGGCCAAAAGGAGTTGAAACCGAAGTTCTACTGAACTTCGGTTCAGTAGAACTGAAACCCTGGTTTGTGCCTGGGAAAGGCTGCAGGATCCAGTAAGTTCAGTAGAACTTCGGTTTCAATTCCTTTTGGCCATGTCGTAGCTCAGTCGATTAAGGCAGCGTCTGGGATGCTCTCGGACGCAGGTTCGAATCCTCGTCACGGCCCTTGTGGATTTGTTCATTTGATGCACCACATAACTGTGATTTATGTGTGTAGTGTACCTATCGCGCTCCAGAGCCGACTGAGTGAGGGTATTTGAAGGTCGCAATGACCATGAACCCACATCAAGGCGACTGTGTTTAATGTTTAATTTAGTCTATTAATGATGGTGCCTAGTAGTTCTTGCTGCTCAACATGGCTTCACAAGCTCACATGAGGGCGCACACACAGTCAGCAAAAATGACCAATTGGCCGTGTGACGATTTTAAGAACCATCTGCGGGTCGGTTTGTAGGGATTAACAGTGTGCCCAAAAACCTGGGCCAATCAGAGGGAACATTCATCCCACAATGCCCCAGCACTCAGCCATCACTTACTGACGAGTCCGAGTACAGATGCCGGTAAATGACTTAGCAAGATGTTACGTTTCAGAGCTATGATGGTTCTTCGGCTTGGGCGCCAGTGTCCTGGTGACAGGGGGGGGGGGGCCAGATTCACGAAAGCCCTTACGCAAGCACTTAAGAATGCGTACATCTTTCCTCAATCTTTGACGGCTTTGGTTACATTTATTAAACAGTTTACAAGCATGAAAAGTTCCCATTCAACTGTTGTTATTGTTATAAAGATCCTCCTGGTGCTTCGGAGCTCATTAACTGTTTAATAATTGGAAACAAAGCCGTCAAAGATTGAGAAAAGATGTACAGGTTCGTAAGTGCTTGCGTAAGTACTTTCGTGAATCTGGTCCATGGACCCAGGAGACGCAGGCCAGGATATGGGAGCACACTCAGGCTTCTTCCTTCTCCCGTCAACGACTTTATTTCTCATGTTAAAACCAACTTCAAGTGGAGGAGAATTTTTAGGAGAAAGCGCAAAGCCAATACCACTATATAGCCCTGGGAAGGGGTCAGGATAAGGATTTTGGATGGGATAGGGGAGGGAAGGAATGGTGCCCAACCACTTAAAGGGGTCGGGGGATTGAGCGCCGACCTGCATGAAGCGAGACCGTCGCTCTACCGTCCAGCCCAAGTGGGTGGAGCTTTAAGTGGAGAGAAAGTGAAGCCTGACGGTCAAGAGGCGTGAACCATACAGGTGTTGACAGGAGGGGGGGGGAACGGCAGTGTTGGCAGGGAAGAACGGCAGTGTTGGCAGGGAAGAACGGCAGTGTTGGCAGGGAAGAACGGCAGTGTTGGTAGGGAAGAACGGCAGTGTTGGCAGGGAAGAACGGCAGTGATGGCAGGGAAGAACGGCAGTGTTGGCAGGGAAGAACGGCAGTGATGGCAGGGAAGAACGGCAGTGTTGGCAGGGAAGAACGGCAGTGTTGGCAGGGAAGAACGGCAGTGATGGCAGGGAAGAACGGCAGTGATGGCAGGGAAGAACGGCAGTGGTGGCAGGGAAGAACGGCAGTGTTGGCAGGGAAGAACGGCAGTGTTGGCAGGGAAGAACGGCAGTGTTGGCAGGGAAGAACGGCAGTGTTGGCAGGGAAGAACGGCAGTGTTAACAGGGAAGAACAGCAGTGTTGGCAGGGAAGAACGGCAGTGTTGGCAGGGAAGAACGGCAGTGGTGGCAGGGAAGAACGGCAGTGGTGGCAGGGAAGAACGGCAGTGTTGGCAGAGAAGAACGGCAGTGTTGGCAGGGAAGAACGGCAGTGTTGGTAGGGAAGAACGGCAGTGATGGCAGGGAAGAACGGCAGTGGTGGCAGGGAAGAACGGCAGTGATGGCAGGGAAGAACGGCAGTGTTGGCAGGGAAGAACGGCAGTGATGGCAGGGAAGAACGGCAGTGTTGGCAGGGGTGTTCCCCACGTCGAAGCAGGAGTACCCACTTAAACGCTATACAGCACTTTAGTGGTGTAGGTTGGGCGACTGGCTGTGGTCTTCTTGTCAGCCACATCTCACCAGAGTGTAGAGTGTGGCAGTGGAGGAGTCTGCCACATCTCACCAGAGTGTGGAGTGTGGCAGTGGAGGAGTCAGCCACATCTCACCAGAGTGTAGACTGTTGTAGTGGAGGAGTCAGCCACATCTCACCAGAGTGTAGAGTGTGGCAGTGGAGGAGTCTGCCACATCTCACCAGAGTGTGGAGTGTGGCAGTGGAGGAGTCAGCCACATCTCACCAGAGTGTAGACTGTTGTAGTGGAGGAGTCAGCCACATCTCACCAGAGTGTAGAGTGTGGCAGTGGAGGATTCAGCCACATCTCACCAGAGTGTGGAGTGTGGCAGTGGAGGAGTCAGCCACATCTCACCAGAGTGTAGACTGTTGTAGTGGAGGAGTCAGCCACATCTCACCGTCAATCTCGCCACTAGAAGAACGTACGGAACGAAGAGACGCAAAACAGCTTTCTGTGGCAACGAGGGAATTCGAAATCTTAATCCTTTGGCTGGTTAGACCAGCGCCATAACCTGTGCTTGGGAGAGCTCAAACCCACACACCGAGCGAGTTAGGGAGAGTGAAAAGGTCGAGGCGGGAGAGTGAAAGATCACAAAAGCTACTATACTGGGATTAAGTAATTAGTAACAGTAGAACGAGGCTTTACACGAGTGTGGACGAGCCCAACAACGTGCCCTTCACGCGAGTCGGTATAGCACTACGTGATACACCAGAGACCTGCTTGGGACGAGCCCAACAACGTGTCCTTCACGTGAGTCGGTATAGCACCACGTGATACACCAGAGACCTGCTTGGGACGAGCCCAACAACGTGCCCTTCACGTGAGTCGGTATAGCACCACGTGATGCACCAGAGACCTGCTTGGGACGAGCCCAACAACATGCCATTCACGTACCACTAATTTAGAGGGTAATTTACGCTACCCGAATGAAGGCGAGCAAACTAATAATTAGGCAGGTTTATGACATAATATCGCCCAGGGCAAACACACAAATATCACAAATTGCCGACGTGTATGCAAAGCCAGACTCATAATTCGCAGGAAAACACCTATTTGGCCCGGCGGGCAAGCGTAGACAGGGGTCGCTGGGCTCCAAAGTTGCTTCTTGATTAAAAACAGCCCAGTTATGAGCACGGTTGGGTAACACACCGCGCTAAACGTTTACTTTGAGAAGGAAAAGACAAAGATGTTCTTCAAATTTCCTCTCAGATTTTTTTTCCCCATTCGCGTGCGTGCCTGCACAGAGCGGCCGAGGGGTGGGCCACGCCCAGAGCGGCCGAGGGGTGGGCCACGCCCAGAGCGGCCGAAGGGGTGGGCCACGCCCAGAGCGGCCGAAGGGGTGGGCCACGCCCAGAGCGGCCGAGGGGGTGGGCCACGCCCAGAGCGGCCGAGGGGGTGGGCCACGCCCAGAGCGGCCGAAGGGGTGGGCCACGCCCAGAGCGGCCGAAGGGGTGGGCCACGCCCAGAGCGGCCGAGGGGTGGGCCACGCCCAGAGCGGCCGAGGGGTGGGCCACGCCCAGAGCGGCCGAGGGGTGGGCCACACTCACAGGTGGCCCACCCCTGCTGACAGTTTACACAGGTAAACTGTCACCAGGCAGACTCCACCAGCCTGACGCTCGGGCGAGGCTTCCCCAAGCGGCCGTTCGCAGCAGTCATCATTTTTAACTGTGTGTATTCAAAATACATTTTCATTAAAACAAATATTTATATTATAATAATATAAGCTTAAACATGGCTACGCTCATTGAACCAAACCATTTTGAAGATTAAGGTTCGTCTTCACACGGCCTTTGGCCCTTCTTCGGAAGTCATGCACGTGTGTACAACAGCCCACGGGTACGTATGTACGTGCTTGCACGTACATACGTATAATCTGCGTATTATACAAACATGTATGACTGTAAATATCCAATGTCCCAAAGCATACTCTCTATTTTCTGCATGAACGAAGTAAGACATCTTGCAATAATACAAACATCTCGCATTATTTCATACAATTCATGATCTGTCACGACAGACAGATAGACAGACAGACGCACAATAGCACTGCAAATCTGTCGATGATACACACATCACGCGACAACCCCCTCCCCCCCCCCCCCCAATAAAACTTGGGAAAGAAAACCACATTTAAATTCGCTATACAACGGCACCTAAATTCAATTTCCCGTTGACGGTCCGGGGACTAATTGGACTGTACAATCAAGGTTTTATAGAAATGCAAATATGGTTAATCTAACCAATTCCCCTATTTTTTTGTGATAATTGGTGTCATGTTTCCCCAACTACCACCCAATTTTATCAGCCCTCGCCTCTACAGAAACTAATGCCACAAAACCCATTTCCCATAGTCACAACACCACCTTCCCCCCCCACAATCACAACACCTCCTCCCCCCCCCACAATCACAACACCTCCTCCCCCCCACAATCACAACACCTCCCCCCCCCCACAATCACAACACCTCCCCCCCACAATCACAACACCTCCCCCTCCCCACAATAACAACACCTCCTCCCCCCACAATCACAACACCTCCCCCCCCCCACAATCACAACACCCCCTCCCTCCAGTTACCAGTACACCCCCAACATCGTGTAATCCTTTAACTTAACCACAATTTCACTCACCCCCACTTTCAAAAAATCAGTCTACTAATTTTCCTCTTAATTCCTTATTCAAATTTAATTTTTCCCAATTTTTTCAACCTCATATTTACCTAATCCCCTCTACCAATTTGTTCCCCATTACCTCAAGCAATTAAGCTTTCTCTCCTATTTCCTTCACCAACTTAGCTCCTACAAATACTTTAGCTCTCCCATGATTGTACGAAATTAAACTACCCCATTTCCCCTATTTATCTCAAACCATCCCCTATTCCAAATTAATTACCCATCTTCAGTATCGCACTATCCTATTTCACAATTTACAATAATTCAAGACTCGTCAAGTTTCCCATATATGGCGCATTTATGTGGTGTTCATTTGTTTCCAGGATGTGTGAACGCGTTTGGGTGATGTGGGAGAGGGAATGGGTGATAGGGAGGTGGTTAAATGGGGAAGGGGTGGAGGGAGGGAGGGGTGATGGGGGGGGGGGTCTTCCACACAATACAAACCTTTTTAGCAACTTGTTAAGTTCCGCTTTATTATGAACTTTATGTGTTCACACATGTAGAACTGGAACGGGGGATGGAAGGGTAACTGATGGAAGAGGTTGATACGCAAGAGGTGGTGATGGAAAGGTGTAGATGGATAACGGGGGGGGGGGGCGAGAGTGAGAAAAGGAACATAATGAGAAAGTAGGAAAAAGGGAAAGAGAAAAAATAAAATGAGAATTAGGGGGGGGGGAGGGGGAGGGGGGGGAGGGGGGAAGGAGGGAGGGAGAGATTTTGCGAGAGAGAGAGAGAGAGAGAGAGAGAGAGAGAGAGAGAGAGAGAGAGAGAGAGAGAGAGAGAGAGAGAGAAAGAGGGAGACTAACAGGATAATTGCAATGCTAAACAAATGAAAAAGATAACAAAGATAGCAATCCGGATCAGGATAATATAGATCAAGGTAATATGGATAATAATAATACCCATCTGGATTAGGGAATACTGCCGAATACCTCTCCATGTTCAATCTAGCCGCCACAATCTCAATCCCTACTCGTCCTACGAGCGCCCTTCAGTCCTATCCACAATCCACCACAATCCTAACACTTGCCCTTGTTATAGGGGCGCCCCCGTCACTATCTGTACCTTATACTGATGGCCTGGGTCGGGGACCGGGCCGCGGGGGGACGGTGAGCCCCGAAACCCCTCGCAAGGCAAGGTACCTCCATCACCATGAGTGCCTTCTATATTCTGGTGTCATCATGACTCCTCCATCTCTCCTAACCACATCCTCCCCCATTCATCATCCTTCACTACTCCTCTCCCTCAAATCCCCACTCAATACATTATACATCCCGTCTTCTCCTCTTCAATACATCATACATCCCCCCTTCTCCCCTTCAATACATCATACATCTCCCTCCTTCCCCTCCACCAACACGGATGGCGCCCGTCCAGAAGTCATAACAGCGTGACAAATGTCTTGTAGCAGGTCATGCAAGGTCGGGGATGTCGGCGTAAGTTGGGAGATCATCTACTTCCTTCCCGGGCAGACGAGCTGACGGGTCCTTCACGCGGCCCCAGGCGACCTGTCGGGATCTTGGCAAGGTCCCAGGCGACCTGTCGGGTCTTTGACGCGGCCCCAAGAGACCTGTCGGGTCTTTGACGCAGCCTCAGGCGATCTGTCGGCGTCTTTGACGCGGCCCCAAGAGACCTGTCGGGTCTTTGACGCGGCCCCTAAGCGACCTGTCGGGTCTTTGACGCGGCCCCAGAAGATCTGTCGGGTCTTTGACGCGGCCCCAGAAGATCTGTCGGGTCTTTGACGCGGCCCCAGAAGATCTGTCGGGTCTTTGACGCGGCCCCAGGCGATCTGTCGGCGTCTTTGACGCGGCCCCAAGAGACCTGTCGGGTCTTTGACGCGGCCCCTAAGCGGCCTGTCGGGTCTTTGACGCGGCCCCAGGCGACCTGTCGGGTCTTTGACGCGGCCCCTAAGCGACCTGTCGGGTCTTTGACGCGGCCCCAGGCGACCTGTCGGGTCTTTGACGCGGCCCCTAAGCGACCTGTCGGGTCTTTGACGCGGCCCCAGGCGACCTGTCGGGATCTTGGCAAAGCCCCAGGCGACCTGTCGGGGCTTTGATGCGGCCCCAGGAGATCTGTCGGGTCTTTGACGCGGCCCCAGGCGACCTGTCGGGGCTTTGATGCGGCCCCAGGCGACCTATCGGGGCTTTGATGCGGCCCCAGGAGATCTGTCGGGCCTTTGACGCGGCCCCAGGAGATCTGTCGGGTCTTTGACGCGGCCCCAGGCGACCTGTCGGGATCATGGCAAGGCCCCAGGCGACCTGACAGGATCTTGGCAAGGCCCCAGGCGACCTGTCGGGTCTTTGATGCGGCTTCAGGCGACCTGTCGGGTCTTTGACGCGGTCCCAGGCGACCTGTCGGGTCTTTGACGCGGCCCCAGGCGACCTGTCGGGGCTTTGATGCGGCCCCAGGAGATCTGTCGGGCCTTTGACGCGGCCCCAGGAGATCTGTCGGGTCTTTGACGCGGCCCCAGGCGACCTGTCGGGATCATGGCAAGGCCCCAGGCGACCTGACAGGATCTTGGCAAGGCCCCAGGCGACCTGTCGGGTCTTTGATGCGGCCCCAGGCGACCTGTCGGGTCTTTGACGCGGTCCCAGGCGACCTGTCGGGTCTTTGACGCGGCCCCAGGCGACCTGTCGGGATCTTGGCAAGGCCCCAGGCGACCTGTCGGGTCTTTGACGCGGCCCCAGGCGACCTGTCGGGACCTTGGCGCGGCCCCAGGCGACCTGTCGGGACCTTGGCGCGGCCCCAGGCGACCTGTCGGGACCTTGGCGCGGCCCCAGGCGACCTGTCGGGACCTTGGCGCGGCCCCAGGCGACCTGTCGGGACCTTGGCGCGGCCCCAGGCGACCTGTCGGGACCTTGGCGCGGCCCCAGGCGACCTGTCGGGACCTTGGCGCGGCCCCAGGCGACCTGTCGGGACCTTGGCGCGGCCCCAGGCGACCTGTCGGGACCTTGGCGCGGCCCCAGGCGACCTGTCGGGACCTTGGCGCGGCCCCAGGCGACCTGTCGGGACCTTGGCGCGGCCCCAGGCGACCTGGCGGGACCTTGGCGCGGCCCCAGGCGACCTGTCGGGACCTTGGCGCGGCCCCAGGCGACCTGTCGGGACCTTGGCGCGGCCCCAGGCGACCTGTCGGGACCTTGGCGCGGCCCCAGGCGACCTGTCGGGACCTTGGCGCGGCCCCAGGCGACCTGTCGGGACCTTGGCGCGGCCCCAGGCGACCTGTCGGGACCTTGGCGCGGCCCCAGGTGACCTGTCGGGACCTTGGCACGGCCCCAGGCGACCTGTCGGGACCTTGGCACGGCCCCAGGCGACCTGTCGGGACCTTAGGGCGGCCCCAGGCGACCTGTCGATTATTTGACGCGGCCCCAGGCGACCTGTCGGGACCTTGGCGCGGCCCCAGGCGACCTGTCGGGACCTTGGCGCGGCCCCAGGCGACCTGTCGGGTCTTTGACGCGGCCCCAGGCGACCTGTCGGATCTTTGACGCGGCCCCAGGCGACCTGTCGGGACCTTGCCGCGCTCACAGGCGACCTGTCGGGACCTTGGCGCGGCCCCAGGGGACCTGTCGGGACCTTGGCGCGGCCCCAGGCGACCTGTCGGGTCTTTGACGCGGCCCCAGGCGACCTGTCGGATCTTTGACGCGGCCCCAGGCGACCTGTCGGGACCTTGCCGCGCTCCCAGGCGACCTGTCGGGACCTTGGCGCGGCCCCAGGGGACCTGTCGGGACCTTGGCGACCTGTCGGGATCTTGGCGCGGCCCCAGGCGACCTGTCGGGTCTTTGACGCGGCCCCAGGCGACCTGTCGGGACCTTGACGCGGCCCCAGGCGACCTGTCGGGACCTTGACGCGCAGGCGACCTTAACCCGCACCAGGAAAGATAAAGGCCGGAGCTACATGCAACTGTGGTCTGACATCCGTCGTGTGTAGCGTTGCGAAAGGTTCCTTGCCTGTGTGTGTGTTCTCAGACGATATTTTCATGTTAATGGGCGCTCCTTGTGCTGTGGGCGCTCCTTGTGCTGTGGGCGCTCCTTGTGCTGTGGGCGCTCCTTGTGCTGTGGGCGCTCCTTGTGCTGTGGGCGCTCCTTGTGCTGTGGGCGCTCCTTGTGCTGTGGGCGCTCCTTGTGCTATGGGCGCCCCATGTCCTATGGGCGCCCCTTGTCCTATGGGCGCCCCTTGTGCTGTGGGCGCTCCTTGTGCTGTGGGCGCTTTTTGTGTTGTGTCCGCTCCTTGTGTTGTGTCCGCTCCTTGTGCGGTGGGCGCTCCTTGTTCTATGGACGCTCCCTGTGCTGTGGGCGCTCCTTGTGCTATGGGCGCCCCATGTCCTATGGGCGCCCCTTGTCCTATGGGCGCCCCTTGTGCTATGGGCGCTCCTTGTCCTATGGGCGCCCCTTGTCCTATGGGCGCCCCTTGTCCTATGGGCGCTCCTTGTCCTATGGGCGCCCCTTGTCCTATGGGCGCCCCTTGTCCTATGGGCGCTCTTTGTGCTATGGGCGCCCCTTGTCCTATGGGCGCTTCTTGTGCTATGGGCGCCCCTTGTCCTATGGGCGCCCCTTGTCCTATGGGCGCTCCTTGTCCTATGGGCGCTCCTTGTCCTATGGGCGCCCCTTGTGCTATGGGCCCTCCTTGTCCTATGGGCGCCCCTTGTCCTATGGGCGCTCCTTGTCCTATGGGCGCTCCTTGTCCTATGGGCGCCCCTTGTCCTATGGGCGCTCCTTGTCCTATGGGCGTCCCTTGTCCTATGGGCGCTCTTTGTGCTATGGGCGCCCCTTGTTCTTTGGGCGCCCCTTGTCCTATGGGCGCCCCTTGTGCTATGGGCGCTCCTTGTCCTATGGGCGCCCCTTGTCCTATGGGTGCCCCTTGTCCTATGGGCGCTCTTTGTGCTATGGGCGCCCCTTGTCCTATGGGCGCTCCTTGTGCTATGGGCGCCCCATGTCCTATGGGCGCTCCTTGTGCTATGGGCGCCCCATGTCCTATGGGCGCCCCTTGTGCTATGGGCCCTCCTTGTCCTATGGGCGCCCCTTGTCCTATGGGCGCCCCTTGTCATATGGGCGCTCTTTGTGCTATGAGCGCTCCTTGTCCTATGGGCGCTCTTTGTGCTATGGGCGCCCCTTGTCCTTTGGGCGCCCCTTGTCCTATGGGCGCCCCTTGTCCTATGGGTCTTGGGCCGCTCACTCCCACGAGGCTCTGGTGTTAAGACGCACACACACAGACACACTTCAAGAAGACCTAGACAAACTGAAGGAATGGTCGAATGAAAGGTTGTTAGAATTTAACTCAAGCAAATGTAATGTAATATAAATAAATATAAATAAATATGTTTATTCAGGTAAGGTATATACATACAAGTGATGTTACATTAATGGATTGATATATAGATAGAGCTAGTACATACAATGCCTAAAGCCACTATTACGCAATGCGTTTCGGGCAATGAAGATAGGTGTAGGAAGCAGGAGGTCAGATACAAGGTATCATTTGGGAGATGAAATACTTCAAAAGTCAGAGAGTGAGGAAAGACCTGGGGGTTGATATCACGCCAGACCTGTCCCCTGAAGCCCATATCAAGAGGATAACATCAGCGGAATATGCCCGATTAGCCAACATAAGAACTGTTTCTAGAAACTTTTGTAAGGAATCATTCAGAACTTTGTATACTACATATGTCAGACCAATCCTGGAGTATGCAACTCCAGCATGGCGTCCATATCTAGTCAAGCATAAGACTAAACTGGAAAAGGTTCAAAGGTTTGCCACCAGACTAGTACCCGAACTGAGGGGTATGAGCTACGAGGAGAGACTACGGCAATAAAACCTTACGTCTCTGGAAGACAGAAGAGTTAGGGGGGACATGATCACCACATACACGATTCTCAAAGGAACTGATAGGGTTGATAAAGACAGGCTATTTAACACAAGGGGCACACGCACTAGGGGACACAGGTGGAAATTGAGTGCCCAAATGAGTCAGAGCTATTATAAAGATTTTTTTTTTTTTTTAGTGTCAGAGTGGTTGACAAATTAAATGCATTAGGCAGTGATGTGGTGGAGGCAGATTTCATACACAGTTTCAAGTGTAGATATGATAGAGCCCAGTTGGCTCAGGAACATGTATGTCAGTTGATTGACAGTTGAGACCAAAGAGCTCTGGACCAAAGAGCCAGAGCTCAACCCCCGCAAGCATAACTAGGTGAGTAAACACACACACACACACACACACACACACACACACACACACACACACACACACAGGAAGCAGCTCGTAACAGCTGTATAACTCCTAGGTACCTATTTACTGCCTTGTAACAGGGGCAACAGGGCGAAAGATACTCAGCCTATCTGCTTCCGCCGGCGTAGGGAATCAAACTCCGGACCACAGGACTACATATTCAGCGTGCTGTCCACTTAGCCACCAGCACCACAAGGGTGGCGCCCCTCCATGCCAAAGTTCTGTAACCGGCCTAACCAACTGATATTACTGGATCAAATAGTTAATAAGCCTAACCAACTAATGCCATTAGACCAAAGTGCCGTAACCGGCCAAGCCAAACTGATGCTACTAGACTGGCCTAACCAAAACAGTAGTAGGCATCCATCAGTCTCAGGAGACTATGGAGTTGCGCTCTGATGTCGGCCTGGTCTGGAGTGGCCTCACCAGGGCGCAAAGCCAGGGTAGGTTGATTCGGGGGAGAAGCTGTTACCCAGGCAGCAGGTCCCCCCTCTCCACGGCGCTGAAAGTCTCCAATGGAACGGCAACAACAGTGACTATAATTACTAGAATAATCACCGTATTTTAGCATTAGGGACTGTCTAAAGAGAACAGTTACCTACACCCAGTACACTCAAATGATCCCGCAAATGACACAACTACCTTCTCCTTAAACACTCAACTACCGTTATAGGGAGCCGGTCGGCCGAGCGGACAGCACGCTGGACTTGTGTTCCTGTGGTCCTGGGTTCGATCCCAGGCGCCGGCGAGAAACAATGGGCAGAGTTTCTTTCACCCTATGCCCCTGTTACCTTGCAGTAAAATATAGGTACCTGGGTGTTAGTCAGCTGTCACGGGCTGCTTCCTGGGGGTGGAGGCCTGGTCGAGGACCGGGCCGCGGGGACACTAAAGCCCCGAAATCATCTCAAGATAACCCTCAAGATAGGAACCGTCGTCAATATGTCCCACCGTCAACTACCTGACACACGACCACACTGTCAACAACCTGACACGATTGGTTTATTATGAACAGTTTATGAAGGTGGAATAAGGGTTGAATAGCCTTATGGGAGAGGGGTGGAATAGGTTAGGGGAGAGGGGTGGAATGAGGCTGAGGGAGAGGCGTTGAATAGGCTGGGGGGGGGGGGAAGAGGGGTTAGGGGATGCTAGAGAGTTGACTCCTTCATGATCGCATTCAAATGTGAGAGGCTTGAGGAATAGGAGTGTGAGAGGGGGTAACGGAAGGGGTGACGAGGTAAGGAAGCGAAGGAGTGATATAGGAAAGGTGTGAGGACTTCCTGGTAAAGATGTCGGGGGGGGGGGGGTA